TGCTCATAAACTTTCTTGTTTCCATGAGCTCTGTGACAAACAAAGGACTTCGTTCATCGTTTGTTGCTCCAAGAAACTGAAGCAAACAAGGGTAGCGACATCTGGAGGCAATATTCATTTCTCTCTCCAACGACTCCCGATAATATGAGGAAGATTTCAAAAGACTGTCATAGATTTGTTTCACGGCAACAGTGCACCCGCAGTATCTGCCTTTAACTACAATTCCCCAACCACCCGTACCAAGGCACTCCTCTGTCAGTTGAATCTCATCATGATTGCTGGCGTGAAAGTCTATTTAACGCCTGTCGAGTTGCTAAGAGAACTCTTCTAGTTCGTCTACCTGCTGTTCTTTTTCCTCCAGCCGGCTCTCTAAGGAAGAAACCTCCTCATCCTTCCCTTGTAGTTGTTCTTCCGCATTTTTCAACTGCTGTGTCTTCTCCTTCAGTTCTCCATCTCTCTCTTGTAGTTGCCCTTGAGTATTTGTCAACTGTTGTGTCATCCGCCTCAGTTGTCCATCTCTTTCTTGCACTTGCCTCTGGAGATCAATCAACTGAATCCTCATTTCCCTCAGTTGTCCATCTCTCCGGACGTTTGTCAACTGCTGTGTCTTCTCCCTCAGTTCTCCATCTTTCTCTCGTAGTTGCCCTTGAGTATTTGTTAACTGCTGTGTCTTCTCCATCAGTTGTCCATCTCTCTCTTGTAGTTGACTCCGGACGTCTATCAACTGCTGTGTCTTCTCTCTCAGTTGTTTATCTTTCTCTTGTAGTTGCCCTTGAACATTAGTCAACTGCTGTGTCTTCTCTCTCAGTTGTTTATCTTTCTCCTTTAGTTGCCCTTCAGTATTTGTCACCTGCTGTGTCTTCTCACTGAGTTGTTTATTTCTCTCTCTTAGTTGGCGATCTTTTTCTGATAGTTGTTCATCTCTCTCTTGTAGTTGCCTACGAACATTATTCAACTTCTGTGTCATCTCCCTCAGTTCTCCATCCCTGTTTCTTGGTTGAACGTGTTCCAACTGCTGTGTCAACTCCCTAAATAGTCCTTAGATAATGAAAATAGAACAAGGCATTTTTCAGCTTGTCTCACAGAGCGCGAACCGAAAACCCAAAACATATTCCTCTCCCTCTCTGGTTAAGTTTTATGTCAAAAGACATTCAAACTTAGGAACTAAATCATTTTGGACCCCATTTTAAATTACTTGGCACCCACCGCTGTCTGTGTAAAAAATATTTGTAATATATTCAATTCTCCTCTGTTAACTAGCTAATATTGTTACCTAAAAGCTCATAACGGAACTCCCTGGTCTTTCCTACAATTATTTTTCTTTACAAATTTGTTCCTCAACAATATCCTCTTACCTGATCTCCTTTTCGTTTCCCTTTTAACATTCTCATTTAGGTCTTTTTCGGTTCCAAGAACAAATCTTTCTCCTCTTCCTTCACCGACTCCACTTCCAGTTACTTCATTCTTAGAAAAAAATGGCAAACACATAGCAACTTAGGAAAAAAAAACATTTTGGTACATGTACACCGAGTTTCCCTGTCAAACGAAATTAAAAAAAAATCGGGGCCTTGCTGTATTTTTATCAGGAACTTAAATGTTACGTTTTTACATGATTTGCCTTTGTTATGATTAACAGACTTAAAAAGACCTATGCCATGCTCAAGTTGAAATGGGAACCTAAATGCGTTTTAGATAGCCTCTTTTAATTTACTTTTTTATTCGTAAAGTTTTGGTTTGCTTATTCTCCAGCGGACCCTTGAAAACCAATGAGGTCTCTTCTTCAAATGTGTACTAGTATAATATATATGTATTCTTAAAGTTATTTTTATATACTAGCTAACTGAATCTACTCACACCATTTCAACTATTGTTATATCAGGAGTATTTAGCTTGTTGACCCGTTACAAAACATGCTGCGTGCGAGTTCATGCCATCGCTGTCATTGATGTTTGGACGTCATAAGTTTAGCCTGCACACGAATTGTTATGATTTATTTTAAACGAACTCCCCATGTGATGATTCCATAATGGCAAATTGCTCTAGTAATTCAAGCTTCAAACAATTCAAGATAACATCAAATGTTCAACAAAAAGACTGATGAGCTTTTAAGATTATTATGATAGTTGCCAGTAAAAATATGCGCTTTAGAGGGATGTCAACCCTCAACCGAAATCAACCGACGCTAAAGCCAGACCGTAAATATAAATAAACCTTTACTGAAAAGCGAGTCACATTACAAAATTAAGGAAAGGCCTACATTTTTAGAATTATAATTAGGGATCAGTGTGCTCTTACTGTTTTGCAATTCATTCCGAATCATCGACAGTCAGAAATCACTTCAATTCTTCTCGTTTTGCTGTTTGAACTTTCATTTAAATTGCTTTGTTTTTGTTATATAAACATTAATCGGACGGGTGATCATAAGTCTGGTAACTTGATCAACAAATCCACCTAACGGCTTGCTATTGCTTGAAAGCCACCATCAGATTGAGTTGTATTTATTTCGCGCATTTATTATTTTTTTCTCATACTAGTCTCAAATATGGAACACTTCAAGAGAGGCCATAACGTTCTGTTTTTTCCCTTTCCTTTCGGAGGTGGGAGGGGGGGGGGGAAAGGGGGGCATATAAATAAATAAACATTTTAACTTACCGTGATAGCTCATATATTTTCGGCGGTGACACTCAATTTTTAATGCACCAAAATGATGCTTCCTTTGATTATCACAGCACCATAATGAATACTTTCATTCATAAAAGGATGAGTTTGGAAACCATTAAAGTAAAAGAAAGGCAACCAGGCGTTACGAAACATCATCAACACAAGATCCTATGGAGAAATAAACTAAAAGTTCTCCCATTTCATTATGATGCTTGTTGTGATAATTTAGGGAAAATATATAAAGCCTTAAAATCAGAACTTTCTTGCCTTTCTGGCCTCGATGTTCATGGCACCCAGTCCTCCTTTTGCAGACAGGATGCCTCGGGCTTCGTCAGTCTCGCAGCAGTCCATAACTGTTTGACCATTCTTGTTAACAAGCTTTGTATCTGCGCCGAGATCTAACAACAACTCCAGCATTTCTTCCAAACTTCCTACTTGTTCAGGTCCTGGTACAAAAGTAACGGCTAAGTGAAGAGGGGTGTTTCCTTGGGCATTAACGGAATTAACATCACACCCTGCATGTAAAAGTAGCTTCATGGTCTCAACACAGGGAAGCTTGCATACACGTGGCAAAAAAGCGTCTTTACGAACAAGAGTCTTATGCCATACAGTCGAGTGCAAAGGTGTATTTCCATCACGGGTGCGAGGCTCTAAACGCAGAAATCTTTGAAGAAGATCAATCATGTTTCCACTTTTCATTTCCAAGGAAACTCGAACTTTGGTGTACATCACCAAGAGATATAGAGCATTAAAAAGTAATGTCTCTTGCGCCTCATTTTTTTGCTCTTCTTCCAATTCTCCAGGCTTCAACTTTTCGGACAGTTTCCTTTTTCCATCGATCAGTTTTTCAAAAATGTTCTCGATAGTTTGTGGACTCAAACTGTGGCCATTCTGCACCATTTCTGCAATTAGATCAGTGAGGTTTTCAAGATCTTTTGTTTTTGGAACATTGCAATTCATAGCTATTTCCATTGCTCGCGTCCACAAACCAACAGAGAGTTCGTACTTCTTAGAATCAGCTAGGACAGCTCCTCGGTAACGTATCGGGATCCGTAATATTGTATTGTCAGTTCCCAGGATTCTCTCTCTAATCATGAGTCCCTCCATCTGGATAGCATGATCATCATCTTTTAGGAGAGAAATTTCCTCGAGAGTTTGACTTTCTGTTCTAATCTCATAAGCCTCCACTGGTTCCATTTTCTTTTTAAGCAAAGGACATGACGGGTTCCCATACCTCTCCTCCATTCCTCGCTTCATGAAACGAAACGCTCTTTTGATGTCGTAGGCATGAGGATCATTAGCAATGGTGGCTCCAAGAAGCTCAAGAGCATCAATTCTGTGTTCCTTTGAACATTCTGGTCGGTTGATGAACCACTCCACCATTTCAATTTTACAATCATTACTGGCTTCAAGAAGTGGTGTTAAACGGTTTAGATTTTGTGTTTGTTTTGCTCCTAAAGCAAGCAAGTCACCAACCACCTGAACGTGACCCCCTTTCAAAGCATTATGAAGACACGAGCGTCCATGGATGTCTTGTAGATTTACGTTTCCACCGTGTTTGACAAGATAGGAAGCAACATCCAGGTGGCCTTTGTAACATGTTAACATCAGAGGAGTACTACCGAAATTAGTGCGTGCATTTACATCGGCCCCGTTCTCAACCAAACAGCGCACAATATCAAGGTGTCCATGAAGGGCAGCAGCTCTCAACGACGGAGTCGAATTACTCGATGTTCTGCCGTCGACTTCGGCGTTTTGTTTTATCAAGAGTCTCACAACATCAAAATGACCTTTAGCAGCAGCGACCCACAAAGCTGTACAATCCTCGGATCATGTGTACTATAGGTGGACTCGGTCGACATATCGGGCGACAGTCGACCAATATATCGGTCGACTATCGGTCGACTATCGGTCGACAATCGACCGACTATCGGTCGACTGTCGACCGACTATCGGTCGATAGTCGACCGATGTATCGGCCGACAGTCGACCGATAAATGTGTCGACCGATATAGTCTTAAACCATCGATACTCGACCGATACATGACCGATACTTGACCGATACATGACCGATACTTGACCGATACATGACCGATACTTGACCGATACATGACCGATACTTGACCGATACATGACCGATACTTGACCGATACATGACCGATACTTGACCGATACATGACCGATACTTCACCGATACTTGACCGATACATGACCGATACTTGACCGATACATGACCGATACTTCACCGGTACTTCACCGATACTTGACCGACACTTCACCGATACTTGACCGACACTTCACCGATACTTGACCGACACTTCACCGATACTTCACTGATACTTGGCCGATAATTCATTGCCCCCCCGGTGGGAAGGGTTTATTCCACGATAAAAGATATAAAACTCTAATAAGTAATATGATTACCTCATAATTTACATGTAAATTGCGTGTCTGGAATCCAGTTTTAAATTTCTCTTGTGTCGGCCATAGCGCGTATCGTCTCCGGCAGCGAATTCCAAGTCCTTACAGCGGCGAAGTAACGAAGAGACCTTAGACCATGTTTTGTACATCTTACTTTAGGTATCAAAGCATATTTGTGCCCCTTTAATTACGATGCGTGTTCTTTACTTGAAATGAATTATCTGTAGTGGTGGGTGTCTTCTTTTGAAAACATCTGTCTATCGTAATTAACATATCTTGGGTGAGACGACCCTTTAATGTGTTTTGTAAACCAATCAAATTGAGCATTCTTTCTTAATGAAGGGTCTTTGCTATAAATACATGTCATACCTAAGTGCACGGTCCTTTACCCTCTCTAGTTTTTCAAGTATATTCAACCTATTGACTTTGCCTGTTACTTTTCCGGAGATAGATGTGGTGTGAGAATTAAGGATCTGTGTTCACTTACAGTACATCAAAATTATGAGATATACAACGCACGATGTTTATTGCGTTGGAGACTTACTACACCCTTTTCAAAGGTTAGGTTATATTTGGTTTTATTATCTGTGCTTTGGAAGCTTATTTCATTGGACAATGAATGGCATTTTAACTTTTTTTTCCGCCGCCGCTGTCATTATTCTTTAAAAAAAAGTGTCACCGTCTGTCGATAAAGAGCACACAATTCGACTATTTAAAGGGTTAAAAACCTCCAGTTTGAGACATGACGGCAAACGGGACGTCGGTAGAGTGAACTCGCAATACTTCCAGCCGCACTCATAAAGTTTTGATTTCTATTTCATTCTATATCAAGCGCGTGTTTTTAGTAAACGTCAAAACGATTCTAACACTGTTTGTTCCCATTGGACCGCGAGTAAGGAAATTTCATTTTCCGATGATGTAGTCTTCAACGCTGGTGTACTAAATGGTGGTGACGGTTGAAAATGTAGATCGTATTAGGTTCCGTAGCTTTGTAAATCCACTTTATAGGATACAACTGTTTCGAGATATTTGTCCGACAAAATGAAGCAAAACAATGGCTGTGTGCAAGTGTTTTAAAAAACATTGGTTAATTTCCTTACTGTCCTCCGTAATACAAGATGTATACTGGTAACTACAGTTTGTCATCCAAAAAAAAAATTACATTCCAAAACTCAAATGGGAAATGGTTTTTGATCGCATGCATTTTAGCGAAAGCTTAATTGACTTTCTTTCCTTTGATTTGTAAAAACAAAGTAAAATGCGAGAAATTGGACCTTTCTCGGAAACCTTCGATTTTTTTTTACTGCTCGGTGTATTCATTGGTTCAAATGATAAAGATATAGAATGTGAACCGCGAAGCACCCGTAATATAAATTATAATTTTTTTTAAATAAATATTTGGGTGCTGGAAGAAGGCAATACTGCCGATACAATAAATCCCCCTGGGTTACTACTCTTTTAAGGGAAATTTGGGAGTCCTTACGGGGCAAAGAAAATTTGACCAAGTGGGGATTGAAGCCACGACCTCCGAATTAGATCTACCGACTGAGCTACGAGACCAGCACGAGAGCAGGTCGGGGTAAATTAGGTAGTCAATCGCGATAAATGTGCAAATGATATCATATGTACAAAACGGGGTAGTGTGGGGAGAAATTAGCATTTGAGGGTGTGTTTGCGTGTGCTTCGTGTGAGCCTATTGCTGCATAAAATGGAAATAACATAAATTAATAATAAGAAATACAATGAAAATAAAAGAAATGAGAAATAATGAAATAATTATAAAAAAATAATAAAATAATACATATCTCGTTTCGCCCCAGGAGTCTTTGTGTGGGTAGTTATTTGAAGTCGCCCAACCCCCTACCCACGGGAAAAACTGAAAACTTCAAACATTTTCCACCCTAGGGTCACAAGGGCCGATCTTCTCCCGGATATTACCTCGGGAGGGTGGTAACCGTAGGAAATCAGCGTTGTTGTTCAGCCTACAGGATTGAATAGTATTTGAATTTATTATTAGTTTTGTTATTGCTATTTTATGCAGTAATAGGCTCACAGGAAGCATTAAGGAAGGTCTCTTCCCAGCCCCCCCACCCCCATCACACACGCAGACACACACACCCTCAAATGCTAATTTCTCTCCATACCGAGCAGTGAAAAACAAATCGACGATTTCCGTTAAAGGTCCAATTTCTTGTATTTTACTTTGCAGATTTCATGCGTATTACCCACATTTGACCGTATGTTATCTGTGTGTTACTCCATGTATTCGTATGTTACTTTTATGTTACTCATATGTATCTGTGTGCGCCCGTATGACTCGTAATTACTCGTATGTACTTGTATGTTACTCGTAGTGCTCGTGTGGTGTTTTAGTCACTATCCTTTGAAGATCAATTGAACGAATGTAAGCTTATTTGCACCTTATCTTCTTCTCGCGAATGGCTATAGCACGTTTTATTCTCTTCTCTTCCATCCCAGCAAGTCGATCTCACCGTAGTGACTTCAACAGAAAAATAGCACCATCCGAATTATTCCCAAAATCTTCGGCAAAACCTGTAGCCAGATTAGAGCCAAAATGCCAAAAACTGTGCGCATTTTACCTTGAAAATGTTAACAATTAATGTGTCATCAAGAAATGTGCCCATAAAGAGATTCACCTCGATGCCTCGTATACATTGTATTTCATCACACAAATCCTAACTTCCTACAAGAATACCTTAAGGAATTCATGTAAAGAAGATGGCATGGTGAGCTTCACCTGATGGAGGACATTGCAGAACAATATCCACTTTAAATACCCAGAGGTGGGGGTACTTCCATATACATGTTTGTGCCGCGGGATAGGGTATGGTTTTGGCGGTTATCGTTTTGCCTCTGTTAGCATTGTGTTTCCGTTATGATCTTTAGAGAGGATATGTAAATTGTATCGGCTAAAATTGCAGTGTGTAAATGGCCAGCTAAACAAAAAGAAAATTCCGCTAAAATTGTCAACAAAGCGATTTTATCGAGATTTGTGTTTTGCCGCGCGTGGTTAGCCGTTGTTTGGTTATTGTTTTTCCTTGAATGGGGTGTCATATTTCGTGTTTGGACAATTCTTGTTTGTTTCATCCTTAAAGTGGGACAGGGTTCAAGACTCTTCGAGGCATACACTTATTCAAAATTTACGGGAGTACCCCCCTCCCCCGAAACGGGACAGTTCCTGTGACCTTAGTGCAACATTGGTGCAATTTGGTATTTTTTTCAATTTTAGACTCAGAAGCATATACGGTAAAAACCCGCTAATAGGAACCTAGTTTTTTCCAAGTAAGGCTAAGAAGGTTATTATAAAAGATGGTGCTTAACTGGAAAATTTGGCTACTCAGGTTCTTTAACAGGTTCTTGTTTTCAAATAGACTGCGAGCAGTCTCTTTTGCTGTGAAATCCCACTGGAACGAACGGGGAAAAAGCGGACGTGATCGACGAGCGATGAGGGGCGAGGCCGTGATCTGCGAGCAGCAGGGGCGCCAGTCACAGCGAAAAGAGATCGCAGCTTGGCCGCTCACCGCTCGTCGATCGCGCCCTCTGCTCGCAGTCTAGTTTTAAAAATAAATGAGTTGTTTGTCATTGGAGGGCGTGGCCTATTTTTGGTATTGTATGCATAATATGTTAAAAATCCAAGCATATATTTACCAAGTTTACAAAGCTATCCAAGATAAACAGAACAAAACGTAACATTAATACATGGAACTGTGTTGTTGCTTTGACGGAATTTCTCAAAAAAAAGAACCTGTTTCAAAGTTGTAGGCTAAAACAGATTCTCGTGTAAAAGGAGTTTTAATGTACAATTTTTGTCTAACATTTTCAGTTAATCTATTTTTTTCGTAAAATCTAGGTTCTTAAAAAAGGGTTTTTTACTGTACCTGTAATAAATTCAAACATTGCAATAGTCTAGCACACTCGAGTTAATTTACGCGAGGTATTTTGAGCATTTGACGTCATTTTCCCTAATTCTCAACCAGGCTATAATTGGAACGAGATAAAGAAATGGCGACTGCAACTTCTCGGAAATAAAAATACAAATAAAAAAAAGATTTCTGATGGTCGTAATGGATTGATATTTAGCAAGGTATTTTAGACAGTCATATTTTACACGAAATTATAAAAATGGATATGGATAGTTTGATCGTAGTAGCACTTTAAAAACATTACTTTCCCCCTACACTTCTGGAGGTGGAAGTCTACGAGAAGTTTCCATTTACTCACTTTTTGTTTAGCAATTTATTAAAGCTTTGAATATCTATCATCTTGAGGCCTCCTTTATCGTAATCATTGATCATTTGTGTCCTTTTAAGTTTGTCCCCTTTGCTTTCCCAGAGAAAGTCACATAGCAGGGTATCGATTTCCTTAAGTGCACCCTGATGCGTTGAAAGAGAGGTTAAAACATGTACAATTTGGGATACTGCCAAAGCTTTTATTATCGTGATTTTACCTAGAAGAGTAAGTCTCCTAGCAGACCGGCTGCTTAGGATGTTTTTTACTCTCTCAATTTTCTCTGAAAAAATGGCATCGCTAGAAAACATCAGAACGCTTTAAAGATAGTGCAAAATGCGATGGAAAATTTGGAGCTATGCGATGTTTGGAGAATTTTTAATCCAAATGGCAAGAGGTTTATCTGGAGGCAAAGACAACCAGATATTCATTGCAGACTTGATTTCGTTTTAGTAAGTCAACTACACTACTTACCCGCTTATAAGAATCTGAGTTCTCAGTTCTAAATGTACTCGTAGGGTGTACTCATGTGAATTCTAATTCAAAACCAACATGTACATACTACCGTTTTTCATAAATTATTTATACCAAATTTAGAGATTTTTATAGTTCATACATGTTTAAGTTCACTACTTTTGAGAGTCATGTCTTTTATCTTTGCCTGATGATCTTTAAGGTTTATTTTCTAAAACAGGAACCTGTTTCAAATTTAGGCTAAATAGATTCTTATGTAAAGGGGGTCTAAATTGATATTTTTAGGCTAACAGGTTCGCGAATTCTAGGTTCTTATAAGCGGATTAGTACTGTATTTCCGATAGGTGGGTGCCGCGGAGTTCCCTATTTAAGGATAAAAAAAATTGATACCGTTGTTAAGGCCCAAACCCCCAAAAAGACGCCCTATTCTAGGTCAAATAACAATAATGAAAAAACAAACAAACCTCGCACTGCAAAAAGAAGTCTTTATAAAATCGCTTTGCTTATGAGTTTAACCGCCTAGTTCAGTTTCAAAAGATCATTTGCTGATTTGCTTTTCGTTTAGCTGGGCAGTTACACACTACAATTTTAGCTGATACAATTTAGGTGGATCCCATTACCGACATAAACTGGACAGTTAATATCGGTAACGTTGTACAAGGAATATAACGTTAAGGACCTGTTAGAGCTATAAGAGCTAAGGAATAATAATCATTTTAGGTATGTTGGATTAAGGGCAGCATGACATCAGGGATAAAGCATAAGCCGGGTAGTTTTAGGAATGATGGAAATACGTTAAGGTACAACATTAATTACACAAGAGCGACCAACTTTATAATGTATTTTTCCATTACCAAATCGGAACATATATCGAAAAAACCTCGCACTCTTTCTTGGCCTATTTTCTTCTGAGCGATATGGTCGGTAAGTGAACCTATACTTGGCCGATACTTGACCGATACTTGGCCGATACTTGATCGACACTTGACCGATACTTGACCGCTACTTGACCGCTACTTGACCGATACTTGACCGATACTTGACCGCTACTTGACCGATACTTGACCGCTACTTGACCGCTACTTGACCGATACTTGACCGATACTTGACCGATACTTGACCGATACTTGACCGATACTTGACCGATACTTGACCGATACTTGACCGATACTTGACCGATACTTGACCGATACTTGACCGATACTTGACCGATACTTGACCGATACTTGACCGATACTTGACCGATACTTCACCGGCAGTTGATCGCTACATATCGGCCGATGCATCGGCTGACAGTCGGTCGATATATCGGTTGACCATCGGTCGACTATCGGTCGACAATCGGTCGACTATCGGTCGACTATCGACCGATAGTCGGTCGATTGTCGACCGATAGTCGACCGATAGTCGACCGATATATCGGTCGACTGTCGCCCGATATGTCGACCGAGTCCACCTATAGTACACATGATCCCAATCCTCTATAACTTTTCCGTCAAACTTAATCGTTCCACGGGCCTCGACGTTTGCTTCATAGCGTAAAAGAACCTTCACAATATCCAGTTTTCCATCACGAGCAGCGATGATGAGAATAGTAGCATGGTCGTTGCCATCTTTGATTTTTGTTTTCAGAGCGGCTTTTCTTAATTCGGTGTTCACCTCCTTAAGCAAATCAAGCAGATCAGAACCGTTGTCAAGAGCAGCTTGATAAGCTGCAGTTACTTCATCACATATGGATGCTTTGTTACCCATTTCAAAATAACACAATCACATAACCTCTACATTCTGCTATGCTCGACCTGAACTGCGTGAGCAAAACAACAAACACGAAATTTTAAGATCAGAACTTTGCATAAGCAGGCTCATTGATTGCATAAGCAGGCTCATTGATTTCAGCTGTTACGGTAGAGAAACAGTTCATTTTACCGATGTTTTGTTCAGTGTATATGTTGAAGAAAAGAAGTGCGATTTGCTTCATCTAAAAAAAAGGTTTCCTGATGCAAATCTTGTTCATAAACCTTTTTATTTTCTGTCTGAAGAAACAATCAGTTGCGTTACATTGTCATTCGTGATGTGCAGGAATTCCACCTGGATCATAATCTCTCCGCTAGAAACCAAACACTCTTCCTTTCCGAGAAAGCGTGGAGTGTCACACGTATTTCTTTTGAAGACTCAGTAAGAAACAGTTCTTTCCAGCGTATAGATCATGATCCATTTATTATCCTTTAGACGGTTATTTGCGCCAACAGTCAGTTTAATTACTCGTGTGTAAAACTATATTTTATTAGCCTGTGTACAGCCGCTCCCTCCCCTCAAAAAAATCGGGACGTCTCTCTCCTCGATTTTTTTGAGTGGAGGGAGCGACTGTACACAAGCTATATATTATTCACTCGCTGTGGTCGTTCGTAACATGTGTTGTAAACACTACGCTTCCCAGTTGAGTGCGATATCACGCAGGTTTCCATACAAAGTTTCGACGTCAAAACTTTGACGTTTCCGATGGCATCGGGAATGTATCCAATGGAAACAAAGCGCGCGAAGACTCGACTCGGCACTTAGGCGGCGCGTCTTGGCTCGCTTGTGCTTTCCGTTATTGTCGTTTTATTGCGTGTTTTTTCGTATAGCTCCAATATCAAACATGGAGTTTCAAGTTAAAGTTGAGTACGTGAAAGGCAAGCGAAAAATCACAAAGTGTACAGTACAGTGTTGGATCACTTTGGTTCATTTGTTGATTGCAGATGATGATTGCTACTACATTTCTTAATCTTTCGTAATCTTCTTGTACTTTAGGATTTGCTCTAACATGCTTGTGTTCAATTTTTCCATGTGTGTAAATACCTTGTAATGTTTTAGCATGACTTATTGCAACATATATTTGACCATAGTTAAAGCTTCTTTGTTTGTTAAGATGAATTAGCTTATAAATACTCTATCCAATGTCAGTCCTTGTACTTTGTGGACAGTGCAAGCCCATGCTACTGTAATTGGAAACTGTATTCTTTGTATCTCAGGTGATTATGGCTTATTAGGTATCCCTTTTATCTTTGCCAAGATGGGTTCAATAGGTACTACTTTGTGTTCTTTAGCATATTGGTTATTGCTACTATTTATCATGTTTTGTCCTGCTTTATTATCATCAAACTTAATGAATATTATTGATGGCCTTTGGGCATTTGGAGTGACATATATCTTGACTATTAGCTGTACCAATCTGAATATTGATCAGTCTATCTGAGATGTCAATATTAGCTGTAGGCATCACTTTTGCTGTTTCTTTTAAATGAAGTTCATAATCAAGTCCACCAATTTCAGATTTTCCTCTTGCCAAAACTCTGTCAATATCTTGTTTGTTGACATTATTATATAGGATATTGATCTGTGACTTTCAGGGTAAACATAGGTTTAGGAATCTGTGCTAATTTTGTATTGTTGTGTTGGTCTACTGGGATGTTTTCAGCTCATGTGTAGAGCATCTGTTGGGTAATTGCTGTCTAATGAACTTATTGATCTTGACTGAATGCAGCAGATTTCTTCATGAGTCTGGGCTCAAGTTCTAAATCTATTTCAAAGTTCAGTAAATGGTTGGTCATTTTTTTGTCTCATTATTTCTGTGAGCTCAATCATTTCAAATGCATGCCAAGGGTGACAAAGATTAAAAGCATCATTTGCATAATTATCAAAAACTAATTTTCTTTGAATTGGTAGTAGCTGATATAAATCACTGAGAGCATTAATACTTGTACCAGCAAAAAGTTCTGATCAGTTATATCAAATGTCTCTTTTAATTGTTGATGAATATGGAGGAGAGTAGTGTTACAAACCATTGAGATCTTATCTATTATTATTAGCTTCAGCTCAGACAGCAATAATCTCATTTGTGTTCTTTTCTGGTCAGACATTGCAGGTAGGACATCACCTGTATTTTTTGGTATTGCTTATGCTGTGTTGATGGTTGTACTATGAATGTTTATTGCTGCTACTCCATTGGTGCTGCTATAGTAAGACTGTTGGTTTCTCAGGATTCATTGGAGTATATTTATACATTTTTGCAACAGTGTGGTATATTGGTTTAATCAAATGGCTTTTTCCAGCACCACCATCTCCAGTTATAAACAGATAAATTGGTTCCACATTTTGTGAATTCAGGCTGTTGAGGTTTTTCATTTTATTTCTAGTCCATGAAAGCACCCTGTCATAGGCTTTGCATTGCATATTATTTAATGATCCAACTGATTGACATAATTGGTCATGAGATATTTCTGTTGGCTGATTTAATAGTGTTATTGCTGATGGACCACAATTTTCAGTGGTTTGAAAATTTGCAGCTGTGAGGGTACTTGTTCATTGAATACCTCATCTGCTGATGATTCGTCTTGGAATTCTAGTTGTAGTTCAGCATTTTCTTGATCATTTATAGGGTCATATGAATGTATGGCAGTGCCATTGTTGTTTCTTAGCCATTCTAGTGCTTCTGTTACAGCTTCTGAGTCAGGTTCAAAGATTGCTCTGTTATGTTCTACAATGTCTTGTGCTCCTAGTTCATTGAATTTTGACACATGTATGATCACTTCCAAGGAGGTTAGATTCATCCCTCCATGGCTAATATAGCATAAGTAGATGATGGAAAAACAGTTCAGGTTGTTTTCTTTTATTTGGTCTATGATATATGATAACAGCTTTGACTTTTCTACATTTCATAGTTTCATTATTATTCATCAATGATATTTTTTAGGCAAATATGATGAATCACTAGAATTGCTATTACTATGTTGTATTTCAATTATGTCATCTGTAAGCACTTCTACAGTAGTGTAGTTGTGCATCAATAGTTTCAATGTTTTCTTTTCTATAGTCCATGATGTGATAAGTTGCAAATTGTGCGAGACAAATATTACCTGCAGCAGGAACTGAGGCTGGTCTATTACAGTAGTGTTCAATGATGTTAGATTTGAATATATCTGTACTGTCATCATCCAAGTCACTAAGTTCTTGTTTTGTCTTAGTAACTCAACATACCCTATAACATACCCCTATTTCTTAAGCCATCTCTAATGTTTGTGTTCCCAGCTTTAGCTTCATTGGCTGCATTCACTATTGTTTGTGAACATTCATTTCATCCTTTGTGAAATAAGAGCAGATATAAGTTTTGCATTTGTAATGATCAAACACGGGCTGCAAGTCTACATTGGCTTCAAACCCTACACTGTTTTACTAATTGGTTTTATTAGCACTAGTGAGCAACACTTCAGTAAAGAATGTTTCAACTCTATACTGAAAGTGTTTAGTGACTACAACAGGATTAAGGTTGAGCATTTGACACTTCTCATTGTAAGACAGTGCATCAACTTGTTCATCAGTTAGATCATTGCCTTGTATTCTTGCTAATATTTGAAGAAGTTCAGGCCACCTTAAATCAGCACAAGACAATGTCACAAACCATGTTGGAATGCCAAGTGGTTTAACAATTACAATTACTTCATACATGAATTTTTGCCAGTATGGTGGTGTTCCTGGTATTTGCATCAGAAATAAATATGCTTGATCTTGGCAAATAAGGTTCACTAATCTCTGAGGATTGGCTCTTTATTAAGAAGCAGTGACAAATTGCTCATGAACCTTCTTTAGAGCAATATTTATACTATTTGATACTTTCTTTTGTTCAATTAAGAATCATGCAAAAAAGAGGTATTCAGGGTTTGTGGCAAACCTTCCACTGTAAATAAATGTAAAAGTCTAGCATTAAAGTATTTCACAGGTGAAATTGTAACTTATTGTCGTTCAGCTGTGTACCCATATCTGCCTTTAGGAAACAATACTGGAAATGCTAGTTCTTCACATTGTTTATCAAGCATAAATGAGACAGGATGTTTTTTTTCTCTTGGTGCTATACTATAGACTTCATTTCCTGTTGACTGCTCACTATCTGTAATAACTGGATAGTTTGGTATTATTGACTCTGAGCATGTCTCACATACTGGGGCTCTACATTCATTTAAGGGGTCATCATTTTCTTCTTCATTACTATTTAATTTATCATTTTCTCTTGCATCATACTCCAATGCAGGATCACTATCTGTTGTTACATTGATGTAGCTTGTTGATGTGTATCATTATCATCTGCATCATTTTGTAAAGCTGTGAGGTTGCTATCAATATTGGTAATATCAGCTACCATAATTAAATCTTTGTATAATGGATTATGCACTTTGAGCCAGTTAGGAACTTGCTGTATTAATTCTGGCCATATAGCTTGAAAATAAACATATCCTCCAAATTGTAGCTTTCTTTTAAGCTTTACCATTATTATTTAATACCAGATCTGTCAGGTGGACAAGGGAATCAATCACAGGTCTGATCACATTCTACAGGTACATTGCATACTGCACCTTTAATTTTTATGTTGTCCCTTAGGCATGACCACAATCTTCTCAAATACTATTCGTTGAGCTATTAGTATTTGTTCTAGTTTTTCTAGTGAGAATAGTTCTGTGGGTATTTCATCCACATACATATTATTCACTACAGCCTGACATGGTAATTTTCCTTTTATGACCTTTGAATGACATGTGTTGCATATATACTTTTTTTCCATCAAATGACTGTTTAATATTGAAATATGTTAGGCAAGGGTACTTATTGTTTATGCATGTTATTACTGATTTCTTTTAAAGTATTTGATTACAGATAGTACATATGAAGTAAGGGCCTTCTCTTATTTTCCTCTTCAACTGGTTAATACACAATTCAACTGA